TGCTCATAATTGCATGAAAAACAATGTGTCGTGTAAAGACAGCTATTGAGTCAAATATTGTAAAAAGATTAAGTAATTTACTCTTTTTTTTAAGTCGGTTGAAATCAAGATTCCTATTCTATAATATGCCTATGTGTCTGTGTAGTTGAAGGCATAATTACGCGTCGCACCCGTCAACGCAAAGTGTCCTGTTTGCATCTTATGAATATTTAGCACAATCACATCTCTTGAACGACGAGGTCATAGTGGGAGACGCATTTCTGAAAGCAAAAATTAGTGCTGCAATCTAAATAAGACCGACGCCCTCGGTGGTCTTGTGGTTTAGCACAACGCTTTACTTCCAATGGTCGCGGGTTCGATTCCTCGCACGTTGCAAAGATTTGTATTCATGAGTATGATTGTATAGGTCTGGGTGTTTTCTATGTGTAATATGTATGTATTTACGAATAATCAAATGTTTGTGCCGTACGAGGAGTCGAACCTGCGATTTTTGAAACTCGTATTTATCTGACAAGAGCTCCGCGAGCTGACGAGGGACATTAGAAGTGTTCAGTATCTTTTGAAAGTTTTAATCTATTCCCATGTCATGGTTATAGCTCAGTGCTTTTACACGACTCAGGTGTTCCTTCATTGTTGATGTCGTCAGAAATTAAAGCATCGCATAGACGATACCTACAAAACTTACAAAAACCGCCAAAATTTTGTTATATATATAATAACTAGCTTTTGCCCGTGGCTTCGCTCGCGTTATGAAGTATTATTATTAGGTTTTTGCGGATTTACAGTACTTTCATACAAACTTTCATGACCTATTTTATCCCCTTAGGGGTGGAATTTATCAAAATCCTTTCTCAGGGGATGCCTACGTTATAGTAGCTTTATGTATGCCAGTCTCAGCCCGATCGGTTTAAAATTGACAAAGTTTCGTTTCATACAAAATTTCGTCCCCTATTTTATCCCCTTGGGGGTAGAATTAATCAAAATCCTTTCTTAGCGGATGCCTACGTTATAACATCTACCTGCATGCCAAATTTCAGCCCGATCTGTCCAGTGGTTTGGGCTGAGCGTTGATCGATCACTATGTCAGTCAGTCACCTTTTATATATATATTTTAATTATATATATATTATATATATATTTAGATACTAGCTGACGCCGCGAACTCCCTTCCAAAATTAAATATGTCAAAAGTTTTTTGAAGTTTAGTTTCCCAATAAATTTCTTAACGCACAGTTTGACAGGTATCAGCAGTTTATATGGAAAAATAAAATTGTTGTTTTTACTATTTTACATGCAATTTCTTCATATTTTATTACCGTTTAAACTTTTCTTGGACTTCCACGTATATTTCAAACCAAATCGGTTCAGCCGCTCTTGAGTTTTAACGAAACTAACGAACAGCAATTCATTTTTATATACATATATAGATTAATATTTCTTAGGTAGTGTAAGCGTTTACATCCTTATATTTTTTACGGTTTCGGTGATCTAGCGGATTAGCACACCGTCTTACTTCCGATGGCGCGGGTTCGATTCCTCGCACGGCACATACATTTGTATTCTTGAGTATGATTGTTTGTATCAGTCTGGGTGTTTATTCTGTATAGTATGTATGTATTTAAAAAAAAAGTTGTCTAGTACCTATAATGCAAGCTCTACTTAGCTTGGAACTAGATGACGCTGAATTGCCCTGAGATATTATTATTATTTTACAGTGGTCCAAACACTGATAATTTGGTATAAGTACACACAGTATATTTAGACGTTGATTTCGAGTAAATTTTATAAGAATATAGCTTTCCAAGGATAGAAAAATATTATGTTTCTTAATACAATTGTAGATGATAAAAACAATAATTTTTCATTTCCTTTTGAGTTAGAGGTTTCTTTGATTTTTCATATATCCATATTATTACATAGTATTTTTATTTAATTATTTATTTATTGTATAATACATTATTATTACTTTGATCCTTATGATATAAGGTATAAAACGTCCCTATGTATGCTTAAATCTCTAAAACTACGCAACGGATTTTGAAGCCGTTTTTTTAATAAATAGTGTGATTCAAGAGGAAGGTTTATATGTATCATTATAAAGCCGTGGCGAGTAGTTAGTTGATTATAAATGTAAAGTGAGAGTGTTTCTAGTCTATCTGTTTGTCACCTTATCAACGGCTGAATGGATCTTTCCGGAACACAAAGACGAAGAATTTACGGCCAACTTTATTTTTTTAAAAAGGAAAATATTGTCGCATTTTAAAGCTTGTTACATATTAGTACTTCTTCTATCGATTAATAAAGAATCATCACAATTAGACTAAACTGTAAAAAGGGTTTATACATTACGGAGTTCGTTTCAAAGCATCGTCGATTCCCGGCTTAAGAATTCTTAATATTTAATGTGTGTTTTCCGTAACTGAGTCTTGTAATTTGTCAACAAAGTTTCATCCCTTGTTTCAGCCTATTAACTTAAAACTAACCAGGGTGAGACTTTGTGCGCAGGCGACTGAAAGAGTGTTATATTTCTATCTCGCTCATTTCTCTGTTGTTATGCAACCTGCATGCGCTGACAATGAGCCGCTCAAAAACATGAATATACCTATATTTTATATATATATAAAATAACATAATACAATTGAAATTAATTCTGATCGATCCCTGTCCAATTCAAATGGGGATCGAAATTACGACGGTCTGTGTCAAGGTTCGGACCCCTAGTGGTGCCCTCACACTAAAGTCGTATCCGTCAGGCGGGATTTGAGCTTCAATCGCTCCATCAGTCCTTCCGCGAATTTGGAGTGCCATCTGCACTCGCCCCTATAGTCCGGTGAAGCTGTAAAGGCCAGAAGTGGCCAACAGCATTAGAGAAGTTCGAAAAAAAAAATTCTGTTCGATCCCTGCCCAATTCAAATGGGGATCGAATTTACGACGGTCTGTGTCAAGGTTCGAATCCCTAGCTGTGCCCTCAGACTGGTCGTATCCGTCAGGCGGGAGTTGGGTTTCAATCGCTCCATAAGTCCTTCCGCGAATTTGGAGTGCCATCTGCACTCGCCCCCTATAGTCCGGTGAAGTTGTAAAGGCCAGAAGTGGCCAACAGCATTAGAGTACTCTGAAAAAATACTATAAAAATATATCTATGTTAACCCTTTGTCAAAGGAACATAATAAGTACAGATTGTGTTATGGGTACTAGTCAACTAGTAGATATACTGCGATATTTTTTTTATATATACATACAAGATACATAAAACCCACTCGATTCAATACAAACTATGATATATGTCTGTAACGTGCGAGGAATCGAATTCGCGACCATCGTAAGTAAAGCAGTAAGCTAGACCGCTAGACCATCGAGGCCTTCACTGTTCAATTTTAAAACTGGATCGAATGAACAGTAGCTTAGATAATGGTCTATCAGCATACCAGACAGTTAGGGCTATAACCATAGCTTCTATTTCACTGTAGATCTGCAATTTTACTAGTAAGCTCATTCTGTTTATTGACCATAATCTGTGGCCCTTCTTTCTTAAATGGATAAATACGGTAAGACTAGGGTCTGATGTAAGGGAAAGTGGAATAGATGCAATCAATTACTTATTGTTAATACTCATACTTTGTATATCTATATTTATATATATATACAGATAACATAATATTACATAGTAGTGACATCTATGACAGTATACAGCTATGACGCGTCATCTACTGCGGCTGTGCGCCGTGCAATATTGTGTATCTGTGGTGGATTACGTTTTGCGCGGGAAAATAATAATATCAATCTCAGGACAATTCACATAGCGCCATCTAGACCCAAGTTAAGCAATCTAAAGCTTGATTTACCTGTAAAAAAAAACAAACACATGTGACAATGTATATGGAAGAGCGGGATGTACCTAACACAGGAATTTCTATGCTTACTAGATTATCCCAACACTATGTTATTGTAACCAAATTGTTTTTGAAAGAAATAAACATTTTTTCATTTTAATGAAACTTTACAATAATATCGAAATATATATAATGTATATGTATTTATACAAGTAATATTATTGGTATTATATAATATGAAATGTTTATTATTATGTGTTATTGTGAAATGTTTATTTCTTTAAAAAACAATTCGGTTACAATTACATAGTGTTGGGATGATCTAATAAGCATAGCAATGGCTGTGTTAGGTACATCACGCTCTTCCATATACATTGTCATATGTTTGTTTTTTTTAGATTATTTAAGACATATTAGATAACTAATATTATAAACTAAAGCAAAAGTTACTTATTAGTATAAATATCTAATAATAATAATAAGTTTACATATAGTATAAATAGCTACGCCCGCGACTTCGTCCGCGTAAAATGACGATACTTCCATATAACCTTTCAACCCCTTGCAACCTTTGTTTTGCATTAAAAAGAAGCCTATGTCCTTTGTCAGGTTCTAGACTATCTGTGTCCCAAATTTCATTTAAATCGGTTCAGTGGTTTCGGCATGAAAGCGAGACAGACAGACAGAGTTACTTTCGCATTTATAATATTAGTAAGGATGTGAGTGTGTGTGTAAAATAATTTAGTAGTTTTTGCATGAAAGAGTATCAAACATCCATCCATCTGATCAAACATATTCAATGTCACTCAGAAACTTCCGCGTTTTAATATTAGTAAGATTCAGAAGAAGTTATTGCAATGCATGGCAAATTTGTCAGTATTTTTTTAAATGGAAACACTTTTTAATCAAATTTCTTAACTTTGCCGTACGATTTTTTTTTGTATCTGTTTTTTTATTGATTATATTTGCACCGCCTATAATTTTTCTCTGCACAACCTGTGGTTGACTGGTACAAAATGCCGTAAAGCGTTAAGTCCGCCATATGTACTTTTACCTTGGTATTTTGTGCATTGAAGTTATATAAATAAAAAAAAATATGTATAAATAAACATTTTGTCAATTACAATTTTTTTATTATATTCTAAAAAATAACGATTTTTTTTGTTTCAGACAGGGCGTGGTGTGATAGATCCACCACACATGTCCCCAAAACATGATACCGGTGAGTTTTTACAACAACATTATTTAAACTAATGTTATAGTTTAAGAGAAAATATTCAATTACGAGCTGAGTTTCTTGTCAGTTCTACTCATCTCGAAATCATTCCGAACTGACGGTAGATTTGACATATCATAGTCTGTAATAGACCTACATGAATAGAGATATTTTGAATTTAAATTACTTGTATGTTATGGATAAATTTAAAAAATAATTATATTTATTTATAACTAGCTATACCCGCGGTTTCACTCGCGTTAAATTTCAATATATAAATATGAATAAAAATATAGCAGACGTGTCATTTTTATGTACATATATTACTGTAAAGTTTCATCAAAATCCGTTCAGTATTTTTTGCATGAATGAGTAATAAACATTCATATTTATAAACTTTCGCGTTTATATCATTACATACTCGTAGTATAAAACAAAGTCGCTGTCGCTACCTGTCCCTATGTATGCTTAAATCTTTAAAACTACGCAGCGGATTATGAAGCGGTTTTTTTTAATAGATAGAGTGATTCTAGAGGAAGGTTTATTTGTATAATGCATGTACACCCGGACGAAGCCGGGGCGAGTAGTTACTTATTATTAACATACTATATTGCACCAACATTAAAAGTGGATAAAATATTGAAGATAGAAGCAGATACAAAAGGCGGTTTAACGCAATCTCTTCTAGGCAACTTCAGGAAAGAGAGTGTTAATAAAAATAAAGCAGATGGCACGTGAGTGGAAATATGTTAACCTATTTTAAAAACTCTGCCGCTTACGTCATAAAACCTTTGTACTTCTTTTTATGAAAATTGCGCGGACGGTGGAGTTATGAAATTTCGCACACTTATAGTTTACTAGCTTTTGCCCGCGGCTTCGCTCGCGTTAATATAACCCCTTAGGGGTGGAATTTATCAAAATCCTTTCTTTGGGGATGCTTACGTCATAGTAGCTTTATGCATGCAAAGTCTCAGCCCGATCGGTTTAAAATTGACAAAGTTTCATACAAACTTTCATCCCTTATTTTATGCCCTTGGGGGCAAAATGAATCAAAATCCTTTCTCAGCGGATATCTACGTCATAACATCTACCTAAATGCCAAATTGCAGCCCGATCCGTCCAGTGGTTTGGGTTGTGCATTGATAGATCACTATGTCAGTCAGTTACCTTTGAGTTATATATATTTAGATTGTCTGCCTTCTTCTGCTTCGTCTTAACTTCGTCTGCTTCACACTTGCTTGACATTTATCATTATATTTCACCCAATTTCCATTATAACTATATAAATTATAGCCGATATGTTATTCTGATGTATAACTTATATTACTGCAAAGTTTCATTAAAATCCGTTCAATAGTTTTTGTGTGAAAGAGTAACAAACATCCATCCATACTCACAAACTTTTGCGTTTATAATGTTAGTAAGATTATGTAATATTATGTTATATATTGTAAGATAACGAGATGGCATGCAGAATTCTAATAGTTTTTAAAATTATAAATAAAATATTAATATAATTTTAATGAACTAAAATAAATAAAAATAAACATTACACTCACTACAATGTATTTGACACACACACACATGTGTCAAATTGTGAATAGATTAATATTGTTTGTCTTTATTTTTTATTTTATTTTATTTATTTATTAAAGGAAAACCAAGGCTATTCAAGTACATCTTCAATAAAATCAATATATATGTCATAATAAGCCACTGACAGGCTTTCACTAATAACAATAGACTAATTCTTAAAAAAATTACATCACTACGTATAAAGGCATTATAAAGTTAACAGAGAATATGAAATTAATTAACAAGAGTTCAGTAACAAATAGTAAATTTATAGAAATATATACATATACATGATTTTCAATAATAATTAATTGTGATTTAAAGATTGTTATTTTAATATTATTTGATTGTTTATAGTGTAACTGAATGTGTATAATAACCATTATTTAAATTAATTATGGTCAAATTTCGATCATCGGACTACTAAACTAGTAAACATCGTAACGTAGTATAAAACAAAAACGCGGTTAGTTGGAATGGACGACCAAAAAAAGATGGATGGATTGTGTGAAAGATAATATGAATAAAAGGAGAGTATGCTCAGATATGACGGCCGATAGAGATCAGTGGAAGAGAATGACATACTGCGCCGACCACAAATAATGGGATAAAGGCAAGGCAATCATGTGTACAAAACAAAATCGCCGCTATCTGTTCGCTTATATTTTTTAAATTACGCATCGGATTTAATGCAGTTTTCAGCAATTGATAGAGTGATTCAAGAGAAATCTTTATATGTATAACACATGCGTGTTATAGTACAGAACAAGCCGAGAAATTCATAGATACGTAATGCATCCGTGGACGGTATACGGGTCGCTAGTGATTCATTTATTACAATGATTATTATTTTTAATAATAGTTATTGTGAATAGCAACCCCTCCAGTATTTTTAAAAAAGTACGATGGAGGTAAGCGAGTCTTCTTGCTGTTAAGTCACCCATAGGTAGATTCAAGGGTTTAGACTTCAAAAGAATACATCTAGAACATTGGCAGCCTCGGTGGTCTAACGGTTTAACACACCGCTTTCCTTCCGATGGTTGCTGGTTCGAATCCTGCAAATATTTGTATTCATAAGTATATAAATGTTTAATTGAATTAAACCAATCACTGTATTCCAAGCATTAATTAAAAATTAATTTGAAACAGTATGTAATTAACTACAGTTGAATATTAGAAATATAAACGAACAAATGTAAGCTGGAAGGTAATGGATGGTAACATATCCCGTTTAGTTTTTGCAAAGCAGTTTAACAATTACCTCTGGGTAATTGGAGTTGCCCTAAGCTCGGCAAAAACATTATGCCTTCATACGTGGCCCTTTATTACTAAGTTATCAGCTGCTTGCGCAGATGTAAACGTAATTACTGACGCAAATATTATTTTTTCTACCCACATAATGTTTGATTAGTTACTATGTTCACCTATGTTTTTTTATGTAATTAGTGTAATAAGTTGACTGTACACCTGACGACGTACGACCACCTATACCTATATGCATGATCGGCTCTACGGACATCACGTTATCATGCGATACCTGTGATACTCCCTTCCTTGTCGTATCATCTATCACACAGTTCATCCATCTCTTTTTCAGCCTTCCTCTGCCCTTAAAAACATTCATAAGTCTAAAATTGGTGTAGTAAATAAGCTGCCTATACGTTGGATACTATGCTTATATAAGTGAACAACACTACGTACATCACGTTATCACGTGATACCCATGATACTCCCTTTTTGCTTTATCATCTTTTACACAGTCCTACCATCTCTTTTTCAGCCTTCCTTTGAACCTTAATCCAAAATTAAAACCATAAATTAATATGTTTTAAATTGGTCTAATAATTAAGCTGCCTTAACACCTGATGTTATGCCTATATACATGATCAGCTCTACAGTCATCACATTATCATGTGATACCCGTGATATCACTCATGCGTTGCCATTTCGGATAACTTCATCTCACTGACTCTCATCCTGTAATTTCATCGTCTGCTACTTCCATTTCTTATTCATTTGTGATCGGTGTTATATATGTTTTTCTTCCATTCATCCCTGTTAGCAATCATTTCGTTATTCACTCCCTTTCTTGCCATATTTCTTTCTTTCTTTTTATTCTTTCATCCAAGTTAAGTAGAGCTGTTCTTATGGGTACTAGACAACTAATATAAATACATAGATAGACAGCCTCGGTGGTCTAGTGGTTTAGCACATTAATATGTTACTATATGGTTGGGTCGATCCTACGGTACAAACATTTGTATTCATGAGTATAATTGTTTGTATTGGTTGTGTTTTCTATGTATAATATGTATTTATTATCAAAAATGTATCCATGTATTTATATCAGTTGTCTATTACTCATAACACAAGCTTGGGACTAGATGGCGCTATATGAATTGTCCAAAAAATAGATATAAATTTATTCCAAATACATACATAATATACATAGAGAACACCCAGACCCGACCGGACCAAGATAAAAAAGAACCCACGACCATCGGAAATAAAGTGAGCTAAACCGCTAGACCACCGATTTCGTCAAATTGGTGTAGTAATATATGCCTTTCCACCTGATCTTACGCTTATATATATAATCAGCTCTACGGATATCACGTTATCATGTAATATCCGTGATATCACACATTCCGGTGAACTTTGATGTCATGACTCTCATCCTGTAATTTCATCGTCTGCTACTTCCACATTATTTGGGGTCGGCTTACTATGTTTTCTTTTCCATTCATCCCTGTTCGAGTCATCTCGTTATTTCATTTACATTATGTTTCTTGCCATGTCATCTTTCATATACTCCATCCATCTTTATTCGGTCTTTTCTACCCTTATAACCTACATTACATTACATTTATATTTAATACTTTCTCTAAATAGTCTCTTCATACCTTGGACAATTCACAAGCGCCATCTAGTCCCAAACTAAGCAGAACTTGTGTACTAGACAACCATTATAAAATGATATACTTTATTTATTCCAAATACATACATAATATACATAGAGAACACCCAGACCCGACCCGAACCAGATAGAATTGAACCCGCGACCATCGGAAGTAAAGTGTGCAAATTGGTGTAGTAAATAAGCTGCCTATCCACCTGATGTTATGCCTGATGGTATATATATGAAAACTATGGATATCACGTTATCATGTAATATCCGTGATACCACTTATTCCGGTGAACTTAGATGTCATGACTCTCATTCTGTAATTTCATCGTCTTCTTCTTTCGTATCCTATTCATTTAGGATCGCGGTAATATCTTCTCTTAAATGTATAACCAGCTCTGCTTGGCTTTGGACTACATGGCGTTGTATACTACACTTTATTTCTTTTGTAATACGATTCAGTTTTATAAGTATTCCAATTGACTTTCAGCTTGGTATACGTTTTGAGGGTTATAATTCTGATGGC